AAATTTATATAAATCAATGAAAATCCTTTGCCGGATAAAAGTCCGGGTCGTTAGGTTATAAAGACCCGACTATCGCGGGAACTATTGGATTTTAGTCGCCTCTGTCGTAAGACCAATTCTTCAGCACATAACCCAGAAAGGCAAGCTGTGCTCAAGTGTTATTGGCTGGTTTCTACGTCGTTATTCAGTCGGAGCTAATGGATTTGAAGGCTTTGCCTGTCCGATAACTTTTTGAATCTTTTCGGGTGTGTGTTGGCTATTTGTGCGCACGGTGGAGGTTTACTCCTGTTTTGTTCTGTCAACCAGAGAGTGCCGGTCAAAACATATCGCGCAGTTGTGTGGGGGTCGATTAAGTTTGACAATGTGTGGTCAAAAAATGCAGTTTCCATCGTGGCTCGTCGGGCTTGACAATGATTTGATGGACCTTAAAATGTTTTCCCCACTTGACAGCCGGCAAAGGTTGTTTCACCAATTGCCAAATAGCAAAATTGAGCTCGGCGCGACAATGACGGGAGTTCTCAGGTTTGTAGCTTCTTTATTTGCGTCTCGCTAGCCCCCCGGAGTAGCATAGTTAACGACCGGTCGGCCAATTACCTTGTATGTTGTCTTGCTGGATGGTACTGCGTACTGCTCACCACTGGTTTATTGCTCTCAATAACTTTGTTATAAAACGGCAACAGGATAGAAGAATTTTAAAAATTTCATCATACAAACAACAAACTTTCTCCTTGGAAAATTTACAATTTCAACTAAATAATTAATAATAATAATAATTATGTTGAAAATAAATGTAATAAAAAGAAGAAAAAAAATATAAAAAAATAAAATAAAAAAAAGTCAAATATAAAAAAAAATAAAATATAAAAAAATAAAATAAAACAAATATAATAAAAATAAAAATTAAAAATAAAACAAATAAAATTAAAAAAATACATAAAAAAATATAATAGGAATAAAAAAAATAAAAATAAAAAAAAAATAAAAAAAATAGAAAAAAAGAAAAATAAAAAATACAATATATAAATAAAAAAAATAAATGAAAATAAAAAAAAATAAAACATATATAATAAAATTAAACAAAATACATAAAGATATAAAATAAGAATAAAAAAAAATAAAATTAAAAAAAAATAAAACAAATGTAATAAAAATAAATAAATTGAGAGAAATTTACAGCAGAAAACACAGAGAGAAATTACACTATGCATTAGACTATGCAGATTCTTACAACTACACACATACAAACTGTGCTGGAGGACAAACGAGTCGTCGACAATCAGTTAGTCGAGTTTAGAAAAACCAAATCGGGTTTCCCCATGCGTCAGTGCCTTACAGCACAGCACAGCACAACAACAAGCGATATTAGCAGGAAATTCAAGTTAGCAGAAAATAACAACAAACCAATACCAAAACAAAATCTGTTGCCTGCCGCCCACACCTTTTTAAATATATGTACATGAATATACATAAGCAAATTTTATATATATTTGATATCCTTCGTTGAGCCAACGATTCTACTCAATGAAATCGGGACACATCGACGTGGCGTGAATGGCGTAAGATATGCGCGACGTAGAGCGGCCGGGCAATATGGTGCACGCAATGTTACAAACATTCTAGGAAATTCATTGAGAGTTGTATGTATGTACATATATGGGTACGTATGACGCTGAGGGCGGAAAGCACCTAAACAGTATATTTATTAGAGAAACACTGAGGGAAAAATTTAAGCGAAAGGCAATTTTTGTAACGAGTAAAAGAGAAATGCTAATGATGGGTAAAATATGTAAACTGAAGAAACATATGGAAAACAAATAAAATCTTTCAGTCGAAATTGTCAGGAGGCTTTTAAGTATCAACAGTAATCCACTTGAATATCATACCAATTTTATTGTGAATTCATTTATTTCTCATTATCAAAGTTTTTATTTACGCAGCAAATTTTCTTAGTGCTTATTTAGCGGCCATTGTAAGTAAAATAAATAAACAAAAGCGGTAAAATAAAAAAAAAAATAGGCTCTTATGTACATACCAGGGGATTAGGAAAAGTTCAGTCAGTTGATGGCTTTAAATTTTTTCTTGTTAAATCTAAAAATACGAAATCCTTTACAATCTCTTTATAAGGATTCCTTTCACATCTTAGAACGATCATCTAAATTGGAGACCAGAAAACGCAAGATAGCTGATGTTAGGTCAGACGAAATTCCACCACCAACGCAAACAGATATTCTCCATGTGATTCTCTTCGGGTCTCGGTGCAATTTTTTACAGCAAAACAAATATTCAGTGAATGCCAAAATGCATATGGAACGATTGCACCGTCTTTAAAGACTATTTCTAGGTGGTTCCAAAGATTCCAGACCAGCCATTTTTCAGTAGAGGACGAGCGCCGAAGCCTTTAATCAAAATTGTCAACTGAAGACGTCCCTGTAGCTCTGGTGAAATCAAAAATTTACGAAAACCAAGGTTGACACAAGAAATGATTGCTAAGGATTTGGGATTGAATGACATGGCTGCATCGCTAATATTAAGTAATCATCTGGGATACACGAAGAAATCTGTTTGATGAGTACCACGAGCTTTAAATGAGGCCCAAAAAGAGGCCCGAATGCATTTTGCTTAATTTTTCCTAAACAAATGCGAAAATGGTCAGCCTAGAAACTTTAGTAAAGTCGTTACTCGTGCCGAATCTTGGTTCTATAATTACGATCCAGAATACAAATAGCAGTCCATGGTATGGAGCCCAACAGGAGCAAACCCACCAGTAAAATCAAAGCAACAAAAATCAGCCTCAAAAGTATTGATGTCAGTTCACTTCATCCGATCTAAAATCGTAGCTGCTAAGCCACTGGGAAATGGTCACCCGGTAACTGAAATAGGGTACACCGAAGAATGCTTACCAAAAGTTGAATGGAAAACCGAAAGAAAGAGGATTTGAGGCGCGCTGTTAAAATAACGGGAAATTTTAATGCCATCCTTGGGATCAAAGAAATATGTTCAGCAACATGTTCCCCGGATATAGCTCCTTGGAATTTCTGGTTATTTCCAAAAATTAAAAAAAAAATTGATAGGAAATGTCTTTAATAGCAACGAGGAGATAATTAAGGGGACTAATGATGAACTTGATAAGCTTAAAAGCAAGATTTTGAAGACTTTTTTCAGAAGTAGATCTAGAGGCTTAAGAAATGCATTGAAAGCAATGGCGATTATGTAGGGAAGATAATATTGTCCTTTTTTAGTTTACGAGTAAATAAAAAAATATAAATTTTTTTCTGGTCAACTTATCGAAATTTTGTTAATCCCGTCGTATGCACGTTAGCCGACGGTAAAAGCATACATACAAACATATTTTTATTATCATGTTAATTTAATTTTTTTGTATCTATAATCAAACTAAAACATCAATTTATGTATTTATATATGCATTTCCTACCCCGAAAACCGAGCTCTAAGTAAAGTCCAGTTAATTTAGATTAAAATTATTTAAATGTATATTAATTGATTTTATTTCCTTATAAATTTTCGGTTGAGCTTTCATGAATATGTACCAACGAAAAATAAATTCGCTTGTGTGCAATTCCTTGACGGCTGTAACTTTCAAAGGGCAAATACATTTTTATCTTTTTTTTATTTGTTGTCTTCGAAGGTTGTCGAACAGGTTCAGCAACAGTGAGGGTCACCAAATTACTTGAAAAGAGCGAATCGAGATGTGAAAAATATTCTTCAGATATATTGTTGTAAATGTGCTGGAGCGGGATGTAAGAAAATCGTATTTTATTGCAATGCTTTTTGAGATTAGCATTTTAAATTTCTTATGTTATTAGTTAGAAACCGAAAAGGGCTTTTTTCAACAATTTTTTGGAAAGGGAAGGACATTTTTGTGGTAAATTAAATTTTCAGACAAAAATGCATCAAAAAACATTGGAATTTTCTAATGTTGTGATGAGCTTTATGAAGCGGTTGCAGTCTGAACTCGTGAAACGGTGCCGGTGATGAAGCTCGTGCGATTCATCTAAAACATCGAACCCAAAATTTATTTAAAAAAACCGAAGATGTAGAAAAATTTCAGAATTTTTAAAAATTTGACAAAAACAAATAAGCTTTTTATGAAAAAAAAAATTTGGTTGGTAAAAAAATAAACCTTTTTTAAATATATTTCTTGAAAAAAAAAAAAACTTTTTTAAGTACCTTTTTTTTTTGAAGAGAAAACCTTTTATTTAATACCTTTTTTGAAAAATAAAAAACCTTTTAAAAAAACTTTTTTTTTATTAAAACCTTCTTTTGAAAAAAGAAAAAATACATTTTTTAAAACAAAAACGTTTTTTGAAAAAATTAACTTTTTGAAAAAAAAAAATAATTTTTTTTTAAATAAATTGACGTCTATTAAAAACAAACTCTTTATATTAGAAATTATTTGAAAAAAAAAATTTTTTTTATTAAATAAATTGACTTTTTGAAAAAAAAAACTCCCTATATTAGGGTAGCTAGCCCCACTCCTTTATATCCCAATACCCCTTCTGGAAGGTTGTGGTAAGGTGCGACCTTTCGTCTTTACGGATGTGTTCTATTCGAAACTATTTTTTTTAGCCGAATTTCCAATAGTTTTTAATAAGTAGTTGTTAAATATTTGGCCGCTTACTGTATTTTTTTATTGTCCGTACATTAAAAAAAATGTACAAATGTGACTTTTAATTAAAGTTCCTGAATCACATAGTATAAAATGTTTTGACATATGAAAACTAAGCCCAGTAAACAGCACATTTACCCGTCTCGTTGTTTAACAAAAACTCCCTATACTTTTGGGAATGCCTGATATTTCAGCATATTATGAAATTTCACAAAATATCAAGGAGGGTACATATGCCCTCGCATAACTGAATGGACATAAAGTGAGACGAAAATTTTATTTTTCAATACAAGAATATGTTATGACGATAGTCGAAAAATTTGTAAATATACATGAGTGTACAAAAAAATAGCATGTAAATAAGTATACGTACGCATTTTAACTCTGTCTAAAGTTCGAGTGGCACAAACGTTTGCGGCTCCACACTTCTTTAAAACATAAACTGAGCGGCGGCGTTGGCTAATGCCATCCCATCCCTGCGTACATTTCCGAATGTATACCGAAATTAATTTCTATTTTCCGTTACCACCGCTGTTCCATTTTTGTGGTTGCAGCACTAACAATTCATCACTCGATCAAAAAAGCTTTATTTTTTTCGTTTCTAATATTATTAGATTTTATATTTTCTAATGATTGCACTCACTTCACACTACGTAACGTGTAATTAGTTTTCTACAATGCGAAAACTTTGCCAACCGAACGACCGAGAACTATTTACGTCTAAATTAAGAAATTTATTTAAACATTTCGCTTATATTCGCACGTAAAATTATATCATGCGTATATTCACGAGATTTGAACTGTTTGTTGCTGGTTATATTCACGTTTGGTCGTTTTACATTCCGTTTTTTTCCTATACATTCCATATATTTTTAATAATATACACCAAATTTTTCTTTATTATATTTCATGCAAACGACGCGTACACTCGACACGTTCACCAACACTCAATGACGTTTCGACACAACTGTGAAGAATTTCGGATGACAATACAATGTTGTATATCAAAGACTTGGAAATTCAAAATCCCGCAAAGCTACATTTAAAACTATGCTTCACAGGAAACATATTCAGTTATTTAGTGCAAAAAAAATCTTTTTTATTTCGAAATGTTTTGATTTTATAGAATTTAAATGAAGTACATATAAATAAATAAATTTTCTTGACATTTCATTTCTGCACACAACCCTAAAAACAATGGCCGAAACAATAAGTTTGCTATATAGCTCTCGCTTGCGCAAATATATCAGACGGCGGTCAAAAATATTGCGTACTCTTTCGAAAAATATTCAAAACCAAATAAGAACTCTGACGCAAATCATATCTAACTTCACGCGATTCATACACTGTAAAAAAGTGGAGAAAAAAGATTAACTTTTAAAGATGGATTCAAATTTTCAGTACTCATTACATACAAGTAACAAATTGGTTTTTGGCTTACCAGCCCCGCTTAGGAGCAGGCTAGATCAGGCAGAGTCTTAGAAGTCGTCTTAGGGGAGTTCTAGGTAAGGAGCTGTTTAGTCGGTTCCAGGTGAGGAGCTGTTAAGTCGGTTTTGGACCAGCTCCGTTTCAGATAATCCTTATGTGACGAACAGAATATTCAATACTCGTATTCTAGAATGTGCTTTAGTAACGGGTATATCCTTTTCGTCTCTCATTCGTATTTGATATTTTCGCCAAAATATTTTAGTCTTATTATATTGTTGCAAGTAAGTTTCAGCTACTAAGGGTTAACTTACTCATTATTTTAACAGCTGATTGCAGTGCACTCAATAATTGCATATCAATCATTTCTCTTGTATTTTCAGTAAATTAATGTATTTATAATTATTCTTACAGTTTTAAGTTTTTACGGTAATGTCCCGGAAAAGTCAAGACATTCCAATACGACCACGGTATGGTATTCCAGATTTAGCCAACGAAGATAACAATACAGAAATGGAGAAACCAAAACAAAAACCAAGAAAGTCATCATCAAGCACCATGGAACCATCATCTTATAGTGAAATACCATTTTTAGCTCAATATCCAGATATGGTGTCGGAAAGGAGAGATTTTTCACCCAAACATGTTGTAAGCCCAGAAGAACGGCGAGATATTATAGACGAACCAGATGTTGAAGATGACGATGAGGAAGATAACTCCAATTCTAAGGACAGTTCTTATGAAGAAAACAAAACTCCTCGGCGCCCTAACTCATTGCAGTGCGATTCATGTAAGACACAATAATGAATGATGCTATACACTTTCTTAACTATATGTTTAATGCAGCATTTCCATATGAACTAGAAGGTGCAACTAGTACGGATGGACAAATGCGACACTTTGTTGCTGATAATCTGGAAGAAAAGATTCGTAATGGTATGTTTCTAGTGAACTCATATTAGATTATTGCTTAAGTAACTTTCTTATTATCTCTAGATCAATTAAGCTACGTTTCTCACAATAGTACACCCTCAGCGACCAATGCGGGTGGTGGTTTGCTAACGCGGCGTTTCCTTCAAACCCAGCGCCCTCAAATAGATGCAAACGTTTTAAATGACATTGAAATTGAAGCCCAATATTTGGCGGGCTCTGTAGATAATTTGATGGAGAATCTCTGCAACTTGTTGCACTCCGTAAGATACAAATATTAAAAGAAAACTAAGTAGATTGTTGAAATCAGTTTCGTTTTACAGATTTCTTCAATTACGGCTGATAACGTTGAGGTACATAAAAACGCTGTAAATAAATTAACCGATAGTATGGACGCAAATATTAAATGCATGTACACAATCATGGCAAAGACGGAGGAAATTACAAAGTCAATGAAACCAACAGAGCAATTAGGACAAAGAATGTAAGCTCCATGAATAATACTTTTATGCAAAAATTTACATATGTACATATATATATTTTTAGACGCGAAATTAAACGCCTTGTTGATATGCTCGATGGCACCATGTAGAATCAACCAATGGTGGTAAACGGTAATTTACCGAAACCCGCCTGCCCGCTTATTTAACGAAAAATATTAAAGTATTATAGATTGTATGTGTTATTATTGTAATTGGTATGAAAAATACACAAAGAATTAGCAATAAATTAGTTCTATTCACTTAATATTTCTCAACTTTTGCTTTTACTATACGCACACTATCAACAGGTCGATCGCTTTTGTCAGTCTCTGCCAAACCAATACGTTTTACTACCTGCATTCCAGAATACACACGTCCAAATATTGTATGCTTTCCGTCAAGCCATTGTGTAGGCGCTAACGTAATAAAGAATTGTGAGCCATTCGTGTCAGGACCAGAGTTAGCCATTGATAATATTCCTGCGCCAGTATGCTTAAGATCTGAATGTATTTCATCAGGGAATTCATTGCCATAGATAGATGTGCCACCACGTCCTGTTCCTGTGGGATCACCGCCTTGAATCATGAAATCGCGGATAATGCGGTGGAAGACGACATTATTATAGTATCCGCGCCGTGATAGCTCAGCAAAATTACGGCAGGTGTTTGGTGCATGTTTCCAATACAGTTCTATTGTTATTTCCCCCATTCTATAAAGAAAATTATTTACAAAACGTAAATAACACAAACAACATAATTTAAAATACATACGTCGTTTCAAGTGTAACAAAATGTGGTTGCCATGCTTTGTCAGGGATACCGGAAGCAGACACAACAGAATTATTTGTTGAAGCCAACATTTTTCTTATAAAATAATGTATTTAAAATTAAGAATTCTTAAATTGTTGCAGAAGTAAATGGTAAATACAGAACCACATCTGTTATTTATTAATAAGGGATGCCAGATGGTGATATTATTACCTTGCCAACTGGTGCAAATGTGTGAAAGAAAAAATTGACAATGTTCTAATGGCTGATTCACATTGCTTGACAGATTATCCTAGAGAAAATTACATAACATTTTTTTTATTGATTGTTACAACTATAGTTAATTTTTTGTTTGCATACTATTGCATTTGAGTTTCTATTCTTACATATGTATTTAATGGCGCAGTTGGATTTTAAGCATGGAAAGAAACCAATGGATTTCCCACAGCATTAGTAATTTTTAGTGCTACTTCAATACTATTACAACACAGCTTTAAATGCAGTCAATATGGCGTACACTTGCTTTGTCTGACAACACCTTAAGGGATTAATTAAATCTTCTAGCTTTTTGCCTTTCATTTACGACAGCTGTAAATAATTTTCACGTACAGATGTCGCAGCGCGGAGCTCTTCCTTTTGTTTAGAATTTACGAATGTTATTTATAGAGAAATGTCAAAATCATTTGCTTTCCTCATAATTTTATTTCATTCATCAACTTCTTTCGTGTGCGTAAAGTTTATTTAGCGGAGAAATGTCGCTAACAAATTGCGATACGGAAATGTGAGAATTAAAAAATTATATTGAAAATTAATTCAGAACTCGCTACATTTCGGACGCAGTTGCATTTTCTAGTGTAAACACAAAGGAATTTGCGGGCAAAAGTAGTTCCGTTTCTCCTACGCAAGATAACTCACGGGACATAAGAAACATAAAAAAATGTAGAAGAAGTGCAACTCGAGCGACTAAAAAGAAGAAAAAAGAAAACAAGAATGCAATGAAAAAGAGGAGGAAGTGATGATTTTGTTATTTTTTAAGCATTTTAATTACAAGAATTTGTAGTAAAGAAATCTTTTAGAATGCCCTTGTTAGGTTCGATAAAGTACGTGTCGGTAAGTACTGTTTCCTATTAATTTAATGGGTCTTAACCGCGTGACCCAAACAAAAGCAGAAGTCAGCAAGGCTATGAGCTCGCCCTGTCCTTTGAGATTCCCTATACATTTTTACGTTAGTGTATTTCCCAATATAGTTAAGCGCGAATTTATAAACTTCCTTATCACTTATTAAACGCCGGTGCTAGTGGCATCGAAAATGTTGGTTGGTGCTGTTCAATGTCGGCAATAACCGCATCCAGTATTAGTGAGGGGACGGAAAAAAGTGAAAGTTAAATGAAATTGTAATTGTCCACTATGCCGCAAAATACAAATCTTCATATGTATCTGCGTACAATGCTCGCGTTTAAATATCAACTAAACATGTTGATTGGTTCATCAAATTTCAATATATACTAAATCAAAAAAAAATATATACTTTGCTTTTAAAATCGTGCATTAATGGAAGTCTGTAGTACATACATCCATACATATGTGTGGAGAAAATCAAAAGCGGCCAAGGTCAACTGAAAATGTGGTTATAACAACGTCGTGTAAAATTGCATCGATGTAGATGTTCGTGCTGTGTAAATAATAAGCTTTTGTTTACGTTCATTTCACGAAAAATTTACAAATTTTTTAATCGATCATACCTTTTAGATTGAATTGTAGTGTATGTACATATGTACAATAGAAAATTCCTGTATCAAAATAGGAAGAAGTCTTCTATGTAATGGTATCTGTGAACACAATAAAATTTCAATTGTGAAAACAAAAAAGTGCAAATGTTTAAACAATCGTCCCGCCGTTGCAGAAATAATGCGTTTCGGCTTTTGTGCTTCATAAAAGAAACCAAAAAACTACTACTCCTAATGTTTCAAAATATTCATAAAGCAGCTATAACAACAAAAATAGCTGGTGAAATGTGCAAGTGAGTATTAAAATGTTTTATGTAATAACAAATAGGAAACTTTCTTTTAGTACATAATATATGTACGTAAATAAGTTTCTAATTAAATAACAAAATTCCTAAAAAAAATAAAAAGTAATTATATTAACATTAAATATTTACTTTCAATTAGTATTTGATTGCATAACTTGCACTCAACGTGTGCACTGCACATAATAAATCCCAGGTCGACACAAAACACCTTTCCCATGCCCAAAAAACCCATTCACCCATTCAACCCAACGAATCAGTCGTTTTCTAGGCCACTTGTTAGGCGACCTCGGTGATATACATAGACTCCTAAGAGGGATTTTTCAAACCGCTTCGATAACAACAACCTTCAATGAGTTGACAGAAAAAGTAGCAAAATATACAGATCTATCTTTTAAAAGGTTTCGTGAGGCCGCACTGGGTTTCTGTTGGTATTTTCAATTGACGTAAAACACCATAAAGGGGATAGCTTCTTCAAGGCCTATTTGGTGGAAAACTGATGACCGGTGTTCGAAAGTAAACTTCTATTTCGACGGCCTTTCCCACTTCTTCACTTCAAGACCGACGAAATCATTTTCACCAACTGAACGAAGGAGCACCAACTCGAACGCAATTTGAAAGTCGATGGCGTCAAAGTTCCGACTACAAATAACCCAAACTCACTGCACTCCTTCACTTCGCATACAACCGCAAAATTTCAGAGACGCAAGAAAATCCCCAAAGCGCTAGACGACGAAAGTTATAGGACTGCCAAAACTCCACCCCCCGTACCGTGACAGGAAACCGTCTGATGTCGTCAGAGCATCATTTGCACAGCGATGCATCTTTGCTACTAGTGGAGAAGTATAATGCTTTGTTGTTCAAGCGATTTGTCGCTTGGATTCTAGCCCCTAAAACCCAACTCCTGTGGTTTTTGTTGTAACCGCAAACAAATCCTCAAAGTAGTTTTTGGGGAATGTTGCGGGATAAAAAAATGTGGGTCGTTGCGGTATAAAAACCCGACTGTCGCGGGAACTATTGGATTTTAGAGACCTTTTACGCAAGGCATGCCTTACCGCGGTCAAATTCTGGAACCCCTAATCCGTAGTAGACAAAAAAAAAACCAACCCCTATATGACGTCGATGACTTAGACCGATCTATCCTGCTCCTAAGCGGAAATAGCGAATCGCTACAACAACAACTACGACGTAAACGCAGATCGAGGCAGAAGCTATGAATTAGCTTTATCTTCTGACCATCTATTAGGATTGTTAAGGTACCCGAACCATAAACCAAATCTCCAAATGCCGCCAATTTGTTGCTCAATCTAAGAAAATATTACATAAGCAAATATGTATGTTTGCATGTATACATCAACTGTTTCCCACATATATGTATAAACTAAACGACATATTATACATTTTCTTGCAGTCTGCCAACCTTTTATATTTATTTTTTAAGTTCATTCGTATACGTTCCACCCATTTCTTCACCTCTTCCCAATTCCAAACAACCATAACCTGAAAACAGCATGCACAACAATGTAATAACACCGTTAAAAAGAAAAAGAATTGAACTAATTACCGTCAACGAAAGCAAAAAAAAAAAATTGTTATCTTAAAACTACAACTTATAAAAAGGTAAATAAAAGAATAAAGATAAACAAAGAAAACCAAAGAAATGCAGACAATTGCAGTGATTGTCACCGGCTTTATTTGTTTTTCTGTTGCGCATTGATAATAATTCAATGAAATTTAAGTAGGTACACAAATACATATGTATGTATGTATGTATAAATGTATATGTCGGCGTAGAGTGCATTAGTGGACAACAAGCAAGCTCCAGACCATTGGAATGTCTATGGGGTTTAACACTTGACTTGCGCTCGTCACTTTAGTTTTCGCTGTAACTCCTTCGTTGAAGTTTCTTTTGTACATTTCTGTATGTACATATATTCGTATATATTTATGGACACATACTGTTTAGGTTCAGTTTGGGTTCATTAAGTACGTATATATATATCTTGTTGGAATGTGTGCTCATCTGAAGTCATAAACAGTATGAATGTGTGTATGTATGTATGTATTTGGATATATCAATACAAAAACTAATATATACATATATGTATACATATTTACACATTAAGGTTATATCGGAACGTTAAATTTCACTTTAATCAAAAAAAAAATCATTCCATTCGGTCAACACTTGGAAATGTTATCGTTAAAGCAGTTATCGAAAAAAGCTTTATTTCGTTTCTATCCCAAGCCATTTTAAAATTAACGTTAACGATGCGCATTATAAAAATTGAAAATTACTCTGCATGGCACTGATCAGTTTTTTGTCCCATGATAATCGAGACTGTATAAGAAAAAACCAAGCATAGGACAACATTCGTTTCGAAAGAATATTTTCGATAATCGTTTAAAGCATAGATTGATTTTTCGAATCAAACTGACAAATATGACAACTCACCTATGGCTTTATTGCGAGAAAAGTTTCCCGGCCTGGTAACCTCTCGTCTTTGCGATATCAATCGGCCATCGTAATACGCGAAAAACTCTGCTTAAGCGGACAAATCTTTTGACTCCTGAGCAGTGGAATGCCAACATACCGTGCATTATGTGTCAAAATGTGGTCGGAAAATTCCTCAAAAGAAGCGAAGTTTACTAAAAATCGCGATGCGATCATTTGAACATATAAATCCAAAGCTGAAACTTTATAATAGAAAGGAATTTCAAGAAGTAAATTATTTTTAATGCATTTTATTTACGTTTCTTTTCGAAGTCACAAAATGGCTAGCCCTGTAATACATTAAAAAATAAACAATAAATATGTAACATGTAAACAATTCAGAGAAGAGATCAAAGAGTACAGCAGTGTGAAAGTAGCAGGATTCTGTGATCAAAAGTATTCATATCAAAGCGGCGCTTTTTTACATTTCTTCTTCTTACTATTATTTTTTAAATTGATCAATTTTTTTAATTTAGTTTTTCATGTTGTTCATTCATCCTAAAACTTATAGAAAATATATTTAAATAAAAAATAAAGTTAAATTTTCTAATTTCGGTCGCCCCTCTGCAGGGAATTCCAACCCCTCCGAGTGTATTTCAGACATGACATAAAGCTCCTCATGAAAAAGCCGTCAGCCGTTCGAAGACGGCTTT